CCTGCTGCTTCCGAGCCAAGGCAATGCTCTCCACTATCACCTTAGCAGGAATTTCCTCCTACGGATGCACAGAAGTCAGAACAGAAGAAATAAAAGTGCAGCAGGAACAAATACTGCCAAATATATAAGACTCACCTCTTCTTCCACTGTCTTGGCCTTCTCTTGAGGCTCATCTCCTACTTCTTCTAGCTCTTCCAGCTCCTTTTCTTGCTCCACAGCTTCGAAAGCTTCTCTCAGATCATCATCCGTGCCAGAAGTGGTGGTAGGAACTGCCCTAGTTCCCTCCGGGGCCACATATTCTTCTACAATCTTCTTTCTAAGTCTTTTTGACTTAGTAAGAGGAGGAGAAGGACTTCCAGCTGCAACGAACAGAAAATGAGCCTTAAAAATATGGCAGAACAGGATTATGAATAACTCAAAAAAGAAACTGTCAAAAAATACCTGGAGTCACAGATTGGGCATGCGCAGTTTCTTTTCTTTTTCTTCTAACAGGAGAAGTGGCCTCAACAGGAGTCTGTTCTACCTGATCTTCTTCTTCTTCCTCTTCTCCATCCCCGGAGGGCAGCTCCAGATCCCCAGCAGCAATAACAGAATTAACTGTGCAAAAAACAAAAGTCAAGGGTCAATCCAGTAGAGGAGTAATAGGAAAAGCTGAACAAACATCAAAACTCACCAAACACCTCTCCACTCTGGGCAGGTTGGCTACCAATATTCTTTGTCAAAGAGGGATCTGATTATAGACAGAATGAAAGATTAGCATTATCACTAAAAATAGAATGGGCAACGATAGACAGAATTGAGAGATTACCTTCTATAACTTGCATATTGATGTCTTTAATGGTCTGCACCATGAATTTGTGAGTCTCCTCATCTGTATGGACAGTCCAATTGTCCCAGCCCTTAAAGAGAACCTGAAGTGCGGTACTAGAAGCAGGCAAATCACGGAATCTGGCCTTCCACCAATCATCAAACTCCGCAGAACTGAAGGAGTTCAGTTCCCATGAAGGATAAAGGGCATCTGCACTATTGTTAATCTTATTCACTGCACACCTGGCATCTTTGTGGACCTCCAAATCATCTGCATCCCTCCAAGAAGAGCCCCGATTGCAGCTTCTGTATGACTTGAGGGGTATGAGCTGAGGGCAGCCAAGCTGCCTTGCACAAAAGTTGGGATGGTAGACTTCCGCTCCCAAATGATAATTTGGAGGCTTTCCTCCTGCGTGAGGCAGATCTCTGGGTAAGGTTACACTCAGGAACTTCATCCTGAAATCAGTTTTAGCAGATTCTTCTTCTGGCTCTTTCTCAAATAGACGATGTCCAGGCTGAAACCAAGGATAGGTTCTCCTGATCACCACTTGCCACTGCGCTGCAGACCTCTTGGTACAATGCCTGAAGAGCATCAGGTACTCATCAATTGACCTCTTGGGGACTTTTGTTGACAACAGTGGCTGAGCCAGAACCTGATCCTCAGGCAGAACTATGTCTGAAAACCTCAATTCAGGAAAATAGACCTGCAGCCAGATCTGAATCATCCAGAAGGCACCAGGAGCAGACAGATTTAGCGGATACTCCAGGGTGGCAGTATGCAGGTTCTTGAATAGATGAGCCAGAACTGTAGGTCCGAGTCCAACATCAGTGTGATTATGCAAAGCTTCTGCCAGATGTCTATACTCAAGCAAAACTGCAGAAGAACGATTGGGTAGAATAAACTTGTTCAGCCAATACAGAAGAAACAACATATGCTGCTGATCTTTGTCCTTCTCGGCACTAAATTTTCTGAGATAATTGGAGAAAGAGCAATTCTGGTTGATCAGGGCTGGAGAGATGTTGAATGGCTTGGCTAGCTTCTGTTGGTTTTTCTTCCTGTGATAATCACCGACAGCATCAACAGGTCTTCCATGAGGCTTAAAACCAAAAATCTGAGCCATATCCAGCAGAGTTGGGGCCATAAGGCCTATACGAAAGTCGAAAGTGTTACTGGCAGAATTCCAGAAACACAGAGCAGCAGCAAGCAGGTTCTTATCTCTGTTGATAGATTGCTTGGACAGAAGTATGGCGTCATAAATTCCAGCCCGTTTCCAGTGAGCCCCAAATCGGGGAAGAAGCCTGTCAATCCAATCAGACCACTTGACTGGACTGTTTCTCACTTCACTAGATGGGAACGAATGGCTCAAGTTCTTGCTAACCCAAGAATGAGAAGCCAGAGCAGAAGAACTCTCGAAACATAGAGGGGCCTCAGCATCCTTCTTCATCAGCTCCGCCATCTTGGGAGGAACGGGACCAAACCAGTGAGGCCCCAGCACCAAGGTATTTTCAAATAAATGGAGGACATTTTCGTCTCGGTTTTTCTGGGCAAAAGGATGGAGCTTGCTCCTAACCTTTATCGCATGCTTATCAATCCCAGCCCCAGTAATGTAATCTGGAGGGACTGGAACAGAGGAGGATTGAGCACGGGATTTCGGGGAAGACATCTCTCGGAATTATTTTTCCAAAAACGATTCAGACTTAAGGGGGCATTGTTTGGGCCTAAAAATTGACACACCCAGCCCAGCGAAAATGAGGCCCAGAATAAAGCTGCAAAAAAATCAAAGCAATTTAGTCTTCGAGAAACAGGAAGATGGAAGCCCAAAAACCAGAAGAGCCCAGCCCAAAGCTTATCAAAGCAAACAAGGCTAATCTGGGCCTTACAGGCCCGATGTGATAAGAAGGGGGAGCCCAGAAATAGGAAACAATCCCACGTGATATCTCTGGGATAAAGAAAAGTCAACAATGGCAACTGTCATAGAAGAAGTGATTGAAAGGTTTATGACATCAAGTTGTTCTGAAAAACCTGAAAACCCTGAAGATCAAATCCCTCTTACATATATATATTCAGAGATTTTTTCTTCTATTTTTACAGAGAAGGTAATTCTCCCAAAGAGATAAGCAAGTTACAATCTCAGAGACGGATAAGCAGGAAAGCAGGGAGTTGTCCAGAAAAGAAGTCAAACTAACCACCACGGGTGAAATCTCACAAGGGGCAGTTGAAATTGGGAAAGAGATTAGGTTCTTTTTCAAGAAAAACAGGGAAGTGATTGCCTATTTGAGAGCCTATCTGCCAAAACTGATGAAATCCTATTTTCTTTCTTTCCATTAAAAAAGAAAAAAAGAAAAAAAGGGGAGATATCTTTTGCCGCCCAGTTTAAAAACATTTTACTATAAATACAAGAAGGAGTGAACAGGGTGGAGAGACACAAAAATTCATCATCCAATCAAACAAAAATCTTACACAAGGAAACCATCAGTCAAATAGACAACTCAAAATCAACCAACAACCCCACTTGAATTTCAAGTAAAACCAGCATGAACCCAGCTTCATATCAGAATTCCCAAGGCTCAGACTTAAGGAATAAGTCATTCAAAACGAGATTTCTCTCGTTACAAATTTGGTTCAGCAAAAAACCAAGACAGGTAGAGCTTGAGCTTTCCCCAAACATGGAAAACCTCAGCAAAATTCACAAATGCAGTCTCTAGCCCCTAAAGCCATAAAAAACAGTCACTTCTGCCCGCGCAGACTGAGGAAACCGCAGTTCTGCCCACTCAAAAGCTTCATGAAAGCTTGAGGCACATTGAAGCTCTGCCAGAATCAACCTTTGGTATCGATTTATAATTGAAACCTAGCAGTCAAAATTTTCAACGGTCCAGTCCAGCCCAGATCAGAACCTTCCATCTCGACAGAAATGGAGTTCCAGCTGTATCTTCATCTCTCTAGCATGAGTATTTATTGTTATAGTTTTGTAAAAGGCAGTTCCGCCTAAAAATAGTTTAAATTCCATCAACCATTCTGGCCAGAACAACCTCTTTATACTGAGATAAATTGTTAAAGTCCTCACCAGTCTGAGGCAAGAAAAGAACTTACTTGGGAGATATTCCTCACCCAAATTCACAATCGTTTGTTTGCAGAAATCAGTAACTTGGGGCGCAAGTTATCCATTCCAAACTAAGTCTGCTAGAATTTTTATTGCGAGTAGTGACACGCTCGCACACCAAAGAAAGCTGACTTGTTGACCAGTCTATGGTTCTCAAGGCAGTGGGGAACTTTGCCCTTCCATCATAGGAATAAACGCAAAACGGGTGAACAGTCTCCATTTGAGGAACCAGAGTGTACACAGTATTGAACTCGGCACCTTTGACCAAACTTCAACATATCCCACACATAGTATTAGTTGAGACTTGGATGCAGGGTAGCGCTATTTATGGCCATGCGCTAATCTTGATTCTCATGAGAGTTACTAGAGAATAGCCCAATTCTCATAGTCGCGGCCTCACGACGTCTCTCACTTAGGTGAGTTCTCCAAGAATACATGTGACCCGTACCCTGCGGGAGTTTGCCCGCCTCGAAACTCATTTAGGGATAAATCCCTTCCTAACGTCATATAAAATAGCACTTTTGCCTTAGGGATGAGCAGAAGAATATCTCAAGGATATCTCCATAGTTTTATGAGTGCTATACGAGTCACGCAGTATGGTGCCGCCTCGAAACTCATTCAGGGATAAATCCCTTCCTAACGTCATATAAAATAGCACTTTTGCCTTAATTTTTTTGGTTGGTGAAGGTTACATGTTTTTGGATGCCTATAAAAGGTCACTCCTCCTTCACATTTGATATACACACAATACACTATCATATTATCACATACCACATTCTGATTCTCTCCTTTTCTACTTTTACATATATTCTCTACTTTATATTATTATTATTTTGGGCAATGGTTATGTGACTTGGATACCTATATCTGTCTATGAACGTGCTTATAGCGGATCTTGGGTTTGTGTACAAGGAGTCGTATCTTGGAGTCTTGTAGACCGTCAGTACCTGCACGTAGGGAGGCTACAAAGGCTTTAGGACAGCGTCTTTGACGTGCTTTACCCTACTAAACTCACCTTCTTACTTATTATTTATTTTCCTTTTACTCACCAATTATTTTGTTTTCTTCAATTTCATTGTACCTTCAAAACTTTCCAATTTGTTTATATGTTATTTATAATATAAATATTTTGTATTTAGCTTTACGGAAAGTGGAAAACTATTATTTTTTATAACAGAAACATGGGCTATAGAAAGAATGGAAAATTAAATCTTCTGGTAAAACAGAATTTGAACACACCAAGTCTTTATTGCAAGCACAACATGAATATACACTTTATTTCATCGAAAAGAAAACGTACATAATGTTACGATCCAAACTACAAAAGTATGCTGGCAACTTTCTAACTTACACCTCAAAACTAAAACAAACTCATTCAGCAGTGCATCCATTGGGGGTGTGAAGAAGGAACAAGTCACATACTAATAATTATCGCCCATTATCGTAATGCTTATTCATTTGGATTTGAGTTGGTAGGCTTTTGTCGTAGTCTGCACTGGTTATAATGCCACTAGAACCACCATCATTCCCTTCAAGATCAACAATGTAAACAGGTGATCCAAGTAAGTGGTCGGTGTCTTTGGGAGATGTAAAGTAATTAGCCTTCCCCGCAGCTGGATGCCTTCCCTTGCTTATGATCTCTTCCAGCTCCATGGCTACTTGCTTCATACTAGGCCTTTCAACCCCTCTTAAGCTTAAACATCTCTTTGCCAGATCAACCACTTTGTCGACCGTCTCGAATTGCCCCTCCATTACTATTTCAGCATCAAGGATTCGATCCAAGCGACCCTGTTTCACTAAAGAAACAAACAAGTTTGCTAGGTTTCTCCCCGCCTCTGGCTTCTGAAAAGAAAGAGCCTTTTGGCTTGTCAACAGCTCCGCCAGGACAACTCCAAAGCTATAGACATCGCTCTTTTCTGTCAGTGTGTTTGACTGGAGATATTTGGGATCCAAGTATCCCATTGTTCCTTGCACCAGAGTTGATACTTGATTTTGATCTTCAGGAACCAATTTTGAAGCTCCAAAGTCGGAAACTTTGGCCACATAATTCTCGTCTAACAATATATTCGTCGCTTTCACATCTCTATGTATAATTGGTGTGCGACTGGAGTAGTGCAAATATGATAGTGCTTGTGCAGTTTCAGAGGCTATCTGGAGGGAATGATTTTCCCCACGAGAATATTCGTCAAAGATTCCTTCGTCTTCTCCGCTTCTCTTTCTCCCTGCAAAATAGATCGGAGTAAAAGGACCACACCCGGGGGGTGTTGGCCAAAGGCCCTCCGATGCCTAAGTTAGGTAAGGTATTTCAAGGAAAACCGGGTGGCCGGAGCCGTGTGTGGTGGCCGGAGCCTTGTGTAAGGGAGAGAAAGAAAGTGGTGGCTAGGGTTTGTGAGAAATGATTTCTGCAGAGTTTCAGTAGGAATTTAGACGTACCTCCACCCTTGTGTGTGGCTATGCTTTTATAATGGTCTTGGCGGCTAGGGTTTCAGAGGAATAATTCCATAGATGGAAGAGAATTATTCCTCCCCTTTATGGAATTGATTTGATCAATTAGGGATTTGATTTATTAGGGTAAATCAAATCCCTAATTGTGGTAGGTATCAAATCAAATCCCATTTTAATTAGGTAACTCCTCATTTAATTGAGAATCGGGGTAGGAATTAGGAATCAATTCTCAACCCAATTAGGTAGTCTTCAATTTAATTGTGATGGCATGTAGGAGGTGTGAATTATCTGTTGGGTTGTCCAGCTGCAACTGGGCTTCCTTCATGGACCTGGGCTCCCAAGTGTCGAAGGTGGTGGTCTGCCCCCTACTCAGGATGTTGAGAGATGAGCAGAATGGTCCAGATTCTGATGATCTGCCAGTTGGGCAGGAGGAGTGTTCTGCTGAATCTCCCCCAAAGAGAAAGGTTGCTGCCAAGTCTTCAAGAGATGAAGCTACTCCTTCGCAGGTAGAGAATGTGTCTCTATTGAGGAAGAAGCCAAGGTTCCCTTCTGCTAAGAAGACTCAAGTGGGGTCTGCTCTACCATCATCTGCCAGGGCCAAACATCTCGTGGGCGTAGATAGCACGAAGGTTGGTGGTATAAACTGTGTTCGAGGTATTTTACCCGAGCCTCCTGCTGACAAGCTTGAAAACCATGATCTGCTTCGTGAGGCAACTTGTGCCCGATCTAGTTTTGCCAAGCGTCAAAGAGATGTAGACATTCCTCCTCGAAGTTCGAGTCGTCTGCAAGGTCAAAAGATGGAGATTGAAGCGGGAGGTTTGCTCATGATCCAGCTGTTGAGTCACGGGCAGTCAAGCGTGGAGTTGATTCAGTATCATTGACTCATTTGGAAGTGAGGTTGGCGGAGGCTAAGAAGATGAGAGAGTCATCTGCCTAGGTGAAGAGTTCTTCTTCAGCGTCGGCGGTTGATCCGAAGGCAAACAAGTCTAGCCCTGTAGGAGATGCGTGTGTGTTTGATCTGCTCAAGACGAACTTTGTATAAAATCCGTCATTCTGTGCTGAGTTGGTCGATCACATCTGTCAGGCCGGCGATCTTGGCACATTCTCGAGCCTTTCCTTGGAAAAACAAAGGGAAGCCACATTTCATCTGCTTCAAAAAGGAGTGGTTCTTGTTGCTAAAACTATCTGAAACTCGTTTGCTGTTGCCCCCTCTTCTACCGCTGGCTAGGTTAATAAAAAAGATGCCTACTTCCGTTTTGAGCACAAGAGTGGATGCAGTAGATGAGATGATGGCAGATGCTATGGAGCAGGCAGATCAAGATGTTGAAGGCATAACTGATCAGGCGAATGTCGAATAGGCTGTAACTCAGAGGTGTCTTGCTGGCGCCTCAGAGTAGATGAAGTTTTCTTTATTTCTTCTCATCTTTTGTAGTCTACTTTCTTGTTGAGAACAAATGATCTTTTTTAACCTTTTTCATTTTGTTGAACTTGGTCGGTTGGTCAGCTTGCTATGGAAATTTAGTTATTTTTTCAACTTCAATTTGCATATCGACTTGTGAACTGCTTGAGTAACCAGCCAATTGTGTGTTTCCCTTAGGAAATTTACGAGTATATTCTGGACATCTCGTATGGTGTTTTTCTCTTAGGAAGTTGGCGAGTGCCAGGGTCCCCCTTGAGGGACTCCGGGCGTGTCCTGCACATCCCTTAGGATGGTTTCCCTTAGGAAGTTGGCAAGTGCCAGGGCCCCCCTTAAGAGGCTCCGGGAGTGTCTTGCACATCCGTTAGGATGACTACCCTTAGGGAGTTG